AAGCTTTCGTACGAATCGATGTTCATGGCCAAGTGCGTGTTGACGAGGACACCTACACCGCCGACGCCTCTGCTGTCGCATGTTCCAAGGAACAGTTCTTCTCCAGTTTCAAATACAGCGTGCAGCGGGCGGTGCCTTCTCGTCTCGGTCAGTCCGATGACGTCGTACTTGATTTTCCTAGCTTGCATCATCAGGTCTTCTATACACGCTTCCGATGCAAGCGTCCTTGCGTTGAAAGTACAGATCGCCATCTTAGTCCTTCTCCTTTTGGGCAGCCTGTTTTGGCCCTGAGATTTTAGCAGCCTCTCCCGAGCGGTCCTACCCAACGCCGCCGTATTGGGGGCTCCCTCAGGTTCAGGGGAATGAGGCCCATTTCTGTTACTGTTTTTGGCATGAATATCCACGTGTAACTTGCCAGGCTCTAGCACGTGGGGGGCCTACTCTTAGCCGTGTGGACATGCAGACGTGCCGTTAATTTATACACATATATATATATATTTATAAATATAATTGAATGGATAATGAAAGCTCCAAGCAAGGTTACCATCGAACAGTAGAAAAATGCTGGCGAGAGCTTTCGGACCATACAAGCCGACATCTGATGTTAAAGACGAAAGCATGTGGCAGGGCAACAGGTTGCCTCCCTTTTGGTAGGAAGATATTTCCCCGAGCGAGTCCTTGTCCTTAGTCCAGAACGCAGTGATTTAGATGTAATTTACCGGGGCTTGCCGTGTGCAACTTAACGCGTAAAGAACGAATTCAACCGCGACCTCGGGCGGACGGATAAGGGGGACTCAAGCAAGGGGGCCGCCATTCCTCCAATTCATCGACAACTACCTAACCACAACTTCAAACGCGAAGCGGCAAGCCGGTCAATATAAAGCCTCGCATAACTGGAAATTACCGGAACTTTGCATTGGAGCACATGATGAAATACTAAAAAATTACAAAACCTGGTTTTTTTATCTAAACAAAATGGTAAAGCGGACACGCCCACACGCTGCACGTTCACACACCCACCGCGTTGAGGTGGTAGGCCAGCGGGTGGGATAATCTTGCTGGTTGGTTGCTGGATTAGTGAGGGTAAATAAGCAAAAATTGACGATATGGCTCCGCGACAAGACCTCTCATAGCATACATAACTAGTCAGCATCCCAAGAAACCAACAAAAAGAACGCAGGGGAGTGTCCGGAGGTGTAGGCCGCACTGAGCCGAAAAGGCTTCTTACGGAAGACACTGGAAGTTGGTCTTTCAAATCCCGGAGGATCGATCCAGCAGACCTCGAGCAACTCTATGGAAGTTATCTTACGGTGTGTAAGAGGGTCTCAAAATGGATTCCGAGAAAAGAAGGAAGCAATGTTTTTGAAAAGATGAAGTCTAGCGAGTCGTGAGGCAGAAGAAAAACGGCTACAAGTGTCTGTACCAGTCTAGGAACTTGAAGGGAAACTAAAGTGAGTCATATCAATCGAATTTCGAAGCACTCACGTCCTCGAGTCTGATGAAATGCCTTAAGCTTAGTCACTTCACCCAAACACAAGTCAATTTCTTGTAAGACCATACCAAGTGGTAGAATCAGAGAAAAATGTTTCTCTTTACGCCAAACCTAATAAAATTTTGTTCCGTATATAAGCTCTAATGACTGCATATATTTCGCTTTGTGCCCTATCTCGCATTAAACGACTTCGTCAGACTCATCGTTCGGTCAGACCGTTAATTACATGGCGACCACAGCAGTAAAGAACTGCCGTCTTCAATAAACCTCCGACAAATCCAGTCGAAGATCAACGGAACCCATGTCAGTCGCATTATCCTCCAAACATGCGAGAGCAAATTCAATTCGAACATTGACAGCGCAATGTCTTATCCCATGAAGGCCCACAAGAAGATCATATAGTGATAGTTCACGATTCAACTAAACCCCGTGGCCAATGGAAGATAGCAAGAATCATCAGTCGATCAGAGCTTTCCTCTACATTTCAACTTCCAAGCGGGCAGGTCATCAGACGCCCCTTCAATCTATTAAGTTGATGCATAATTATTGCTGATTTTTCAGCAAATTTTACTCAAAGAAACGATAGAAATATCTTGCAAAGACATGTTCAAATGATTGCGCCGGAACATATCCACCATCTAGGTCAAGCACTGCTTCCCATTTGCTAGGCGATCGGATTCCAAAGGCGACGAAGTTTCGATACTTGGAGGCGATCCACGCCTTGACGTCGGCCCTCAAGCCATCCACTTCATCGAAAGTTGTGTTCTTTAACCAATTTTTCAACGGGCGATCAACGTGATAATCTAAAGGAGTCTCTATTAGTGAGTGGGGGCGACCGTAGAAGCATATTCTACTTTTTAATCGCCTTTGCTGACTGTTCCATCGCCGAGAAGATTGTTGAGATCACGTTATGGGTGGGCCGCCTTCCAACATTTCTCGAAGTAATAAAACATAATATGGCGTATAGGAAGATGACTTTCTAGACATACTCCTGTTAAGGAGAGCGAGAAGATTATTTCTACAAAAATCACGAATTCGAAAGTTTAATTTTTCAAGAGAGAAGAAGCCGCGAAAAAATCCGCTATAGTTATGCCTAACCTAATATTATGCCCACTAGAAATCCCACCCGCCCGACCCAATACTCAAGGAGAAAAGGAAGAAATCGCGAAGATTGGTGACATGGAACCACAAAGTTCGCATACTCACAGTCGCAGAACACATCCAATGACTATCCGAAGTATGAAACGAGGTAATCTAATTTCCATCTTGGGAATCGCTCAAATTTGTATGCTCCTCACGGGATCTACCGAAATCACCTCCTATACTCCAGACACTCTCTGCTCATCGACGCACCGAACAATAAAGGACATTATATTATCTACGCAGATCAATGCTCCTCTCAAGGAATAGCAGTCGCATTAGCAACTACAAAGGACAACAGATCATCCTTGTGCTGGATCCATCTAACCTGTCCTTCAGGACACATTTGAGTCCCACAGCGACCATCACCGAACACTGGATACTGCGGAAACACGTGTATATGCCCTTCTTAGACAACATCATGCAGTGCATGTAAAGGAAAATCGGCGGAGGAATATACCCTATGGAATCGCTCACTTCTTTCCAGATCACGTGCGTTCATTCACTTCAGCGGAGCACTGCTCAAAAGACGAAAAAATGGCGTATCCTATCAAATCCTACTATATGGTAACGCACTCATCATCGTAACAGAACTGAACATCACAACAGTCAAATACTTATGTACCTGTACCACTCCAGTTACGACATACGAATCCAACAACAACTCAGTCGCCATCCAAGCAGGCTTATCAGGCATATCAATCGACACAACGGAAAGATACAACATGATCGAGGTATGCAGCGCTCAAGTTTGCATATATTTGTCCAATTACGACGCCCGAACAACGATTCTTCTACCAACCTCAATCGTCACATTTGATCACACGACGACAATACAGGCGTGGATAGAGGCACTCGAAAGTTTTCTACCACGCTTAAATGCACAGGAAAACCTATGTGAAGTAATAAACTGCACTATGTTAGGAACATCTCTACAGTTATCAATGTCAATATCATCGCAATCGTCTTCGCTTCTCTGCTCACACTCATCTTTTGCAGATTATCATCACCACTTTTCACATGTCTATGGTGGACACTCTTAAAAATGTACCGCATAATGAAAAAAGTGGCGATCACATCCGTGAACATTATCAGATGTCGCCAACGGAAATATACACTACCACAACTCCCGACATATACAAAAAGAAGAACTGAACGATATACTTCCATTCTGCCAAGAGCATTGATGACAATACGCATATGTTCTATACGCTCTGATGTCGTCAGTATCACCAGTACATCTCACAAATGCGAACTCAACGCCTCAGCTGAAACCTGCACTGTGGACCAAGTGGTAACTCTCCAACTCCAACCAATAGGACAGGAGGCGCGTTTACTTCTACAAGACTGCAGCAACCAACCAGCAGGTATTATATCACTACGCCTGCACAACGTCGCCTACCAGTGTCAATAAAGAACTCAATATTACACACGTGATCACAATTTTCATACTGAATCCAACCATCAATACTGGAATACGAAAAGTTGCACGGGAGAAACCTGTAAAGGAACTACATCATCGAAAATTCCAGAGATTAGCAACCATGCCACTACGCAGAGCAAAATCTACGAACATATACCATCTACCCAGCTGCCGTCATGGCCCATTACAGTTCATGGAACCATCACGACCGATATAATGCAACAGAAGAAACATCACGACTTCGTCCTCCAACCCGCCATACAACATCGATGGAATCAACTACAAATCGCACCAACGGCGACTACCTCGCAAACTTCCCAATTCTTTCAAGCTTCTTCGTCAGCGATGGCAAGAAAACAGCTATCGTAGATCCATCGCCTGCAAACCAACTGTTGCCATACTCCATAGGACAACTACAATGCGATTCATTGGAAGACGTAACAACATTCAACGAATGTCGATCCTCGCCGACATCTTGTCAACGTTCGACAACAGTATACAGCGCACATTGCGAGTGCCCAAATGGAAACATGACCAGCTACTTATCCACGCATCACGTATTCTTCCGTTATCAAGCGACAACATCATCATCCTCGAACAACACAACGACATCATCGCAAAAACATCAACAGGAACGAGTGTCTCCGTTCAACTCTTTATTAATAGCATGCAAATCTACACGAAACAATGGCGGAACACATGTACAATTGAACCTGGATTACTTCACGGATGTTACTCATGTTACATTTTAGCTACCACCAAAATATCGTGTGTCTCTTCAATCACTGAAGAAACGGTAATGATAAAATGCGAAAATCAAAGCCAAACTGCAATTTGTAAGCCTGAAGGCCACATTTCAAAACTCACATTCCATTTCCAGCAAAGTTACATTGATATGAACTGCAGCGCTAAGTGTCCAGCGGGAGAAACGTTCTTCACATCAGGTGGACGACGAAATTACGTCACCGACCCGCACTTCCAAAATGACGTGTCACAAGGAAAACACAGCTGATCAGAAGAAACAGGACTATTCACATTCATCGAAAGCATCAAGAAGACATTCTTCGGCAAGATCTTCACCATTTGGTCATTGTTGGAAACTTGAACTTTTATTCTCCTCATAGTAATCACTCTCCCCATCACTATATCTCTATTTCGAACAGTTCTTAAACGAAAATCACATCAGATTGTAGTAAGACAAGAGAGATAAGATACCCTCATGCCATAAGCCTTCTTGGGGCGAGAGTGTCTTCACCATTCTACGAAATGAAAGGGAAATTGAAGTGAATCATATCAATCAAATTTCGAATCACTCACGTTCTCGAACCTCATAAAATGCCTAAAGTTTGATCACTTCACCCAACACAAGACAATTTCTTGTAAGACCATACCAAGTGGTAGACTCAGAGAAAAATGTTTCTCTTCACGCCGAACATAATCAAAGTTTGTTTCATTTAAGCTCTAATGATTGCATACATTTCGCTTTGTGCCCCATCTCGCAATAAACGACTTCGTCAGACTCATCGCTCGGTGAGACCTTCAAATACAACAAGCGATGACAGAAGAGGCGAGCGCCAGAAGATATAGCTCCCTATGGAATTTGCGAAAGGCTCGCCAAGGCAGTTGCAGCGAAGAGAAGGGTTAAAAACTGGACACCCATACGAGAACTGGACGGTCGAGAAAGGGAGAAGTTTGATTCAAAGACCAACTCTCTGAAAATCGCCCAGAGACGAAGGTGGATTCGGGGATTGGAACACTGCTCCTGCTGTCTTCCGTCGATTTATACCTTCTGTTTCCTCGCAGATGTTTCCAAGCATGTCAGTGGGGAGTTTGCAGGTGCATTATACCAAGATTAGTTTCGAAAGATCGTCTGAAGGATCTCACATGGAGACACACAGAAAACAATGGAATTAACAGTGTCAAAGACTGTCCGAGGCTACCATGTCGAACGGTGACGCTCTCCTCGGAAAGCGGCACTCGACTCTGCTGGCAGAGCTGGTCGGATCGATACTGCATTGGTGTGGAAGGATCATTTTTCTTGAATTTTTGTATTTGTATAAATGTCTCTCTATCTCAATTTTTGGTATATGGGCTTGATTTTTCTGTTTTGGCTATGGTATGATGTGAATAAAGTGCACCACCGGAGAGACCGTCTGCGGCAACGCGGACGCTAACGCTGTTTAAGAGTGCTGAGGACCATCGGTTGATGCCCAACTCTAAAAGCACCTCATTTGCTCTGTACTTGAGACTTACTCGGCGACAGATCCAGAATGAAATAGAACTCTTCCAATGTAAAAAGCGACCTGTCTGACTGCTACTGTGCTACTATACCAAAATTCTACGCAGAATCGGCTCTTCTCCTTTTCCACGCCACATTCTGTCTTTCAGTACCTAGAGAAAGAGAGGAAGCTTAGTCACCAGCTGGGTTCACTTTTTCTTTCGGGTTAATAGGAAGATTTCGTTAACGATGATGTCGGTGAAGACTACAACCAGCTTTCTGAACAACGTTACGACAGTACTGAATAAGGCAGAAGTCAAAAGTTACTAAGACCGTCTTTCTTCGGCGATTCTCCACCTGATGCACCAGCGTAGAACCACGCAAGCTGCAGGAAATCGCCAGCCAGGATCTGACTTTGAGAAATTATGCAGAGAAGCGATAAAAATCTGAAAGAGAGAAGAGCAGCAGTCAGGACAAGTCTGTTAAGACTACATAGAGTATCAGCAAATTTCGCCGGAGCTCTGCCATTTAGTATACCAGCATGACCGAACCATTATCTCCCTTCGTCGTCAGGATAAAACAATTGCTGCGTCTCGATGGAAAATGCAGAATGTCTCTACGACTTCTACTCTGATCTATTCAACAGCCACGTGTACCTGCTACGTATCACTTTAGACAGAATGGGAATGCCGTCTCTTCAGTTCTTTTTCTGATATTCTATATGATGCCATCACGCACGTCGATGAACAGTCAAAGTCATGCAGTCAAAATTCAATATGCTCTAGAACGAACGAACTCGGAACTTTCCCATACACGCAAATGCAGTTGATCGGCACTTGTAAGGGACACAGCTGCTTGAACCAAAGAACCTAAAACCGGGTGGGCCTCCCACGTTATGCGATATCATGAGGACTGTTGGACCCGAGCGGTCACTGACTGGGTCCTTCGGAGCTCAAATGAACACCGGAACGGCCAACGTAATAGTCAGACTTCTTCACGAACGTGAACGAGAGGAACCCTATGCCTCGTGTCCCTCGGGGTCGAACGAGGTCGATCCACGGGATCAATTTGGCTCGCAACAGGGGCGAATGGATTTGTTACTGGTACACGCTTGAGGAAATGGGTGATCAACAGGACAGTAGGTGACAAGATGATATGCAAGTTTGCATCTCAATTGTTCAAAAGTTATTCGCATAGAAATTACGAGTTTTGCTCGTAGTTCATGAGAAATAAAAGAAAGTGACTGACTGTTTCGTCCTTCAATCTTAGCAACACTTCCATATCGAAATTTTCCATATCAGGACGCCAGCCGAAGATTCGATTAATTATTCCTCCCAAGGCTCTTGCAGCATCCATTGATGAGAAGTTGTGACGACTTTTCTCTCCAGCACGAGTACAGGTAACCCTTGGTTGGAGAGCATTTACTAGGTATAATCAAGAATAGTGGACTTTCTACCTGAATGAGAAAGAGTCTTCTGCTAGTGATTCGACGGCGCCGTTTTTGACAAAATCTCGCATCCTGGCCTGAAAAGAAGGAAAAAGTATTTGGGTTAAGATGAAGGCACGCCAAAGACCAAGTGAAGCAGCATATACAAAAAAACTACTAGGTCATTGATGGCACACACAATTTCTGATGAATTGTATATCTCAAACTCAAAAAACTTCGTTTCCTGCTCTCAATCTGCATTCCAAATCAAAACGACTTTGAGAACAGGTATGCAAAAATATTTCCCATCTCAATAGTATGCTATTCTATGAACGGGTTGATGAGTTGAATTCTACCTCCGAAACAACGACGTAGGTGGTATTAGTAGAACGTGGGCGTGGAGTCGAATCGCTTTCTTGATGCAGGTGCTCTTATTTCCGAAGGAGGCACGGCTTGCGTAAATGCCCAAAGCACCCAAACTCCGTAAAAGTGCAGGCGCCAGGATGGGAACACACAGGCAGGATTGGACTTCGTCTACTGGAGGTGGAGCGTGCGTAAAAATTGCTGATTTAGACTCCGAGCGTTCAAACTTGGTAGGAGTATAAGCGGCGGGATGAGATTGCTGATGGAAGCTGTTTGGAAATGACGCGAGTTTTCATGCTGTAGGTACACAAGCAGATGTCTTGAACATGTCCTCGAATAACACCGGTCAAGTACTAGAGCTGGTTGATGTAAATGGCAGCTGTGGCAACTTTGCCAGCGTTCAGTAGCTCCTAGTAAAAGAGTCCCTTCGTGTTCGATCAAATTGAAATTGGCGCTGGTGAGAGTTTGGCTTTGGTTGAGCTTGTGGCTCGACGCCACGAGGAAGCCAAACAACAGCGCGTTTACTACCATCACACAACGTTTATCATACAATATCCAGCTTTCGTCACAGTTTCTAAATCCGCAAAAATAAGACTTTACGACTCGACCGAAAAAAGCAAAAATTCGCAGGTGCTTCTGGTATCAGATAGTCGGTAGGGGACCCTTCACAGTTTTTTTCGTTGGACATTGGAAAGGTCTTCGATATGGAGTGGAAGCATCCATGTGTCGATGGCAACGCACGCATAGTGGATTCCGGGTTCGCTATGACAGCACGTAGTAATTTGTCATCATCGATGTTACGTGCTCGTCCACTGCGAACGTTATCTTCAAGGTTGCAATTGTACCGACGATTGACCTAAGGAACAGCGCCCTCACCGCCTACAATGTGATGATGATGGTGTCACCTCCTTTGCGCGTGCTTTTCCCTTGACCCCACACGTAAAAGATAATGGTGCGAAGTTGGTGCTGAGAAATCATTTCTGACAAAGTACTGCAAGCTCTCGAGCATTTCCCTATATACTCATGCATTGATTGTTCGTAGTGCATCTAGTAGATTGTGCAGATTGCCACTTTGGATGCTACATTCACGCTGATTTCGCAAGCTTCTCACAATTCGAAATTTTTGTCGCAACACATTGCGCTACGCAATTCATTCTTCATACAGTGCTTTTTCGAACCAACAAATATAAAAGTATCAAAATGTACTAGAATTCAATTACAAAAGTACCAGACTGTACAAGAAAGTATAATATAAGTACTAACTTTCACAGCGTCGACTCCTCCTGGAATACATTTTCCATGAGCAATTTCCCAGCATTCCACTGCCACCTTCCAATTTATGCGCGAAATTTCGCGTACGATCATTTCCAGAGCATCATGAAATTGCGGATTACTTAGACACACATCAGTTTCAAACTTTAAAATGGCTTCAGAAGCCTAACGACTAATCTTTATGATAACAATGCACGTTTCATGTGAATGTTTCCAGAGCGCATTAAAAGTAAGTTTTCTACATGAGCTTATCTCATATCAAGAGACAAAATTAAGGTTACAGGATACCTTGAAGTGCAACTCAGAAATCGATCTGATCCCTACAACAAAGGACCCCGCCGAGTATACGAAACAACGAAAGGAGCGTTCGAACGAGGGTTAAGTCATTGCACAGCAACGTATGGCAATTACTAGAGCAAACAGCTCAATGCACTTACAATAATTGCGCTCCATTTCGCCTGATATCATTGTCATTTCGTCCACTCTTGGGAGAACTGAACGATAGTGGGCGCCGCTTTCAGTTTCTGAGCTCCTATTGCTATCTATTTTGACACTGACTGACAGTCTTAACCTAATAGCGCCCAGTAAGACCTTGTTTCCGGCAAAAATTCTTCCGAGCAACTGAGCCCCTAAGAGCTCCATGCTCAGCAATGGAATAGTGATTGAAGGCACAGTTCACGATCGAAAATGTTCTTAAGACCTCCTCCTGGAACTCGGTTCCCAAGGGCAACACAATGAACGCTGTCGGGTCGAAAAACTCTATATATAGGGCATAATATGGGCCCCATTACCGGATTCGTCGACTTCTATGCCCATCGACTAATGATATATCACACGACTGTCGAGACGATACAGTTTGCGCTACTCGCACCAGGACCCACACGTTCAGCATGCAATCAGCTCATCGCTGAGTGATTAAAACATGTTTTACTCTGTTGTGATCACTTTTTCAGTTTTCCACCTTACGGGGATGAAAAAAGTGAGTTACTTTTGCTGTTAGTCGTGTTTTCGCTGAGTTAAGCTAGTGATTTCGAGTGTACTGACTCAACATTTTCGCTTAATAGTCAGCTAAACGCACCAGTACACGTACGTAACGACACACATTGTATAGCTCGTCCGTAATCCCTTCTACTTCATTTTTCTGGTTCTATTCTCGTCCAGCTCCGTTTTAGCAATTTATTCAAAACCTTCCCTAACTTGGAAACACCGATTTGTGTGCTTTCTTCGCCTCCATCGTACTACCCCCCCCCCCCCCCCCCACCTTCTCTTTCATTTTTTGTCATAACGTGGATAACCCAAAATTACCGTGAGGTGTGCCCTTAAGGGAGCTACAAGTTATAAGATGAAAGCGTTCATTTTGTACGGCATTCAATCTCATTTCAGCCATTCCGACTCAAACAAATGAGTTGAAAACCTTCAATTGTGTACAAGTTTCCGGTGCAACATATGATAGACCATATGATCCCGAATGTATTTGAAGTTATTGACTGAAGCACTTTCTTTGGCGTCAGGCATCAAAAAAGGATAAGGATCGGTAATGATGAGAGTAAAGGATACTAAATAACAGCGACCACTCGAAGTGAGATGTACTTTCCCTCAGTTTTCGAGCAATTATTCCGAAAGCATTCTACCAAATATAATGCGCTAGTGCCTGTGTGTTTGTAGTGTGTATGTGCTAACCGGAAAATTCACAACCTCCGTCTCAGTGAACCTAGAACGTTCAAATTCGGTAGGAGCACTGGGGGCAGGATAGGGACACTTATGGTAATTGACACAACCTAACACAGACACCGTCCGCTCACAGGGGGTAGGGTTTGCTCGAAAATAGCCTATTTGGCCTAAGGCGTTCAAACTTGGTAGGAGTGCAGGCGGCAGGAGCGGAACACTCTGACACTTTGTTTACCTCCTATCTGGCCCCCATTGGCGAAGTCCGGCCCTGCCACATATTAGGTGGTAGGACCGGACTCCGCCAATGGGGGCCAGATAGGGGGCAAACAAATGTTTGAGCGGAAATTCACAACTTCTGTTTCCGTGGAATTGGGGAGTTGAAAATTGCTGGGAGTAGAGGAGGAAAGACAAGAGCATTGAGCTTAGGATGGAAACACTGACGATGAAAGACCCCTTACAGAGCAAGAACCACTACCCATTCCCTAACGCCTTCGATATTTACGACCTAGCTTTGACTCATTCATGTCTCATCCAACAAGAAGTGTAAATGCCATGATAGGGACCGATTGATGGCACTAAATTTTAAGGAGATTTAAGTTGGTTCATTTCTTGCTATTAGATTACGACCACTACCCAGAAAGTTCGTGACTAAATGAAGGGTCACAGTTTCTCTTTGCTTCAACCTCATTTTGGCAAAACTTCTCTCACCGCTAATTATCCTAGTTTCTCATCCAGTGATATATCCGTAGAGAAGTACCAGAAGAAATAAATGATATATCCGTATCCGCTTCCTTGATAACGACATTTAATTATAGTCTTATTAACACTCGACAATACTCGGGAATACCATTTAAGGCTTTCGTTGCCTACCAAATAAACCTTCAATGGCTCACTATTTTCAAGATGAACAGCAACAGATCGAGATTTCTAATCATAGGCATAACCATCGGCAGATTTTGAATACCACTTGCATGCCCTGATAGTTCTCGGTCGAACTTCGCAATCCGAAAAGAACCATTTGCTCCAAATAAGGAGAGGTCGATTGCCAATTACTACAACTCATTTATAAAGATGAGGGAAGCCCGGCCTGAGCCGGGCGACCTGACTGGTAATTTTATATGCGCGACTACTTCAGAAGCAACCTTACAGAAGCGCTTCACTCTTTTGATAAAGGTTTTCGTATGGTTTCCATATCGTGTTAATGAATGGTAGGCGATTTTGCTGATGGTATGGATTGGTTTCGTTCAAAGCCGTTGGCGACTACTCGACTCTACTCGACTATTGAAATAGGAAAAACAGAAAAAGTCGGAGCTCCTTGGCCTTGGACAAAAACGAAGCGGAGCGAAATACACTGGTGTGCAAAACGTAGGGACGAGATGGATAATGTAACATAAAACATTGAGGACTGAGTGGAAATAAATGAAAGTGTGGTACTATATTGCCAGACCCATGACGGTTGTGCACAGGAAGTTGGACATCCCTTCGTGGAGGAATAGTCCAAATAATGCGAGAAATATGGCTACCCGCACAAATCGAGGCAGCTGATAGGTACGAAAAAAAATTTTTTGTCACTTAGCCAGTAGCTATCAGGTACTGTGGTGTTATCCCTCTATACATCATATCCCGTAGACGACGTCTGAATGACGTTGCACAAGCAAGGATCATCGAGAAGCTCGGAAAATTTGAACCATCACGAGCGCAGCTCAGGAACGTGGTATCGCTCACAGCGTTGTTACACAAGCACGGAAAGCATTCCGAACCTCTGATTCTGCTGCACGGGGGCGAGTAGGTGGTCGACCAAGAACAACTATACTGAGGTATGACCGCTGCATTGTGCAGCAGGCAAGAAGCGATCCACATCAGTCAGCGCTTTTGATTGCAATGTCATTTAATGGGATTTCAAAGCAAGCCATCCCACGCACTACAGTGGCACGACGATTGCACGTTT